GCTAACCACAGTGCAATCCACATATTCACTCCTATATCCCTGTTCCCACTCTGTAATGTAAACTGTAGTAAGATTTTTGGTTTAGCCTAAATCCCTGTACACTATCACACAGAAACAGACTGTGGAAACAATGGCCCCTTCATTCTAGCCTTTTCTCAAAAACTGATGATGTTGCACATGTTCATGCTCTCACATTTATGGATATGAATTACCAGAAACCGCCTGTTTCATAAAATGCCCCCACCATTACTAATTGAAAAATGCACCAATGCATTTTGGAGGAATTCCATTTTTTTCATTCTGGATAGACACATGGTCAAAGGAGAAAATGAATCATCATTCCCAGAAGTTAATTAGGTTCCATTCTGCTCTGTGTGTTTGCACTTTCAACATCCGATACAAATACATTTTAAAGCTCTCACTTGCTAATGTGGTATAAATGCAAGGTGTTTTCACAGGTCAACAGAGCCAACAGGATAAACTGAATACATTATTATTACATCATGTTAACACTCATTTTCTTTCTCACATTTTCAGGGGCCACAAGGACCACAGGGAGGTCCAGGACCAGGTGTAAGTTAACCTTACTACCACTTTTCAGCTTTCTACGACAGTTCACATACTCTATATATGTCTAATTATAAAGCACTAAGGTTCATCTCGTGGTACATTATCTCTTACATTGTGTAAAAGACATGTTTTAACAGAATGTGATCTGACACCAACCACATTGGGCTCATTTTTCACTGTGTCACTCATCTTGTCTTCTTTCTTCCTACCTTAGGGACCCCGTGGGGCTCCTGGTCCAACAGTAAGTGCTGTGTGTCACTCATGTAGACAGGTAGTTAGGATCAGCTAGAAGTCTGGATACTTGTTTTTAGTTTCATGTAAAAGACATAAGGTTTGGACCATAGAGTTGCAGGGAAAATTGTCCAGCACTTACGGAGTGATTTAAAAATATCAATGATATAATGATGATGGCAGTCATCAATGCTTAGCCTTTTCTGGCACTGATAAAAATCCTCTTCACGTTTCCTATCTGTCAGAATTTCTGGATTACACAGCTTTCTGCTACCTGAATGACCTTTTCCTGTCGGAACAATTCCCCAGAAAAACAACACAAGAACCGAGAAAAACACAAGAACCGAGAAAAACAACTACACATCTTTCTTTTTGTTTATACACCTTATGTGATATCCGTAGTGTTTATGCTGGGACGATGTGTTATTCTTCCCCCTACTTAAGAAATAAATGTCAGGGACTTTTTGATGCAAGACTTATTTTACTACGTTACTGTGGTATTAGGGTGTATTCTTATTCTATTCAACTTTTATAACTGTTGACTTTGAATCCACAGAGGCAGATGTATGTCGACTCAGCAATCTACGGTCTATCTGAGTCAAATGTTGCCCTGGGGACAGAGGTAAGGCACTAATACACTCGGGCAGTTGAGGGGGTGAATGGCTGGATTTCTTATTGCGAGGACATACCAATTACTTTTTGTTGGTATTGTAAGTGTAATATTGATCTTTGGAGTCTCAAACGCTGTCTTTTCCGTTCTCTACCAGAGTTACCAGAACACAGAGATGAGCCTTCCAGAGCAGAATACAGAGATCCTTAAGACTTTACACTACCTTAGCAGCGTGATTGAGAGCATCAAAACGCCTCTGGGCACGAGGGAGAATCCGGCTCGTGTCTGTAAAGATCTTATGGAGTGTGATCACAAGCTGAAAGATGGTGAGTCTCATCTACCTGATACTGAGGGGATGGATGAGAGGATTTTAGGCATATGCGTTTTTTATTAATAAAATTCCTGTCTTGCTTTTCCTGTCTCCGTCTGTCCTCTCTTCGCCAACTGTTAGGTTGGTTCTGGATTGATCCAAACCTGGGCTGTACCTCTGATGCCTTCAAAGTCTTCTGCAACTTTACCGCAGGAGGGCAGACCTGTGTACATCCAGTGGCTTCTGATAAGGTAACATTAAAGTGGAACGAAGATGAACATGAATATGTCAAGGTACTAGATAAAACAAAGGACTGTTTTAATGCTTAGTGTAAACCGTCCCCATCCATGTCAGTTGATTGTTTGAACTTCAATTAAGTGTTTTCTCGTCTACTTCCTTAATGCACATTTTGAATTTCAATTACATCATCTCGTCTGCAGTGTTCTGACTAGAAAAATGAAATTACTGCTATACCTCTTTTTACCTCAAAGAAACATTTTATTGGTTGTATAAAAGTAATCTTAACATGCCTTAATTCACATTTAGTTTTATAATTTTCTTCATTCTGTTAAAATGTGCGATTAATTTGGATGGAAACCTAGCACCACAACAATGGGATTTATTCAGATTAATCTAGTAACTTAACTGCAAAAACCCTTGGCTCGTCCTTAAGCTTGACTTTGTTGGATGTTGTGTCCAACTTTTCAAACTGAATTTTAAATTATAAAAGCAGACTGAGCACACTGTTTCTGCTCTCAACCACAGATGGTGTTTGGGGTAGGGAAAGTCCAAATGAAGTTCCTCCACTTACTTAGCACTGAAGCCAGTCACAGCATCATGCTCCACTGCCTGAACGACCCTCCCTACGGCACCACCGGCAGCCTCAGCTCCACCGGACCCTCACAACGAGAAAACGGCCCCCTACGGTTTCAGGGCTGGAACAAACGGATGTTTGAGAAAGACACACTACTTGAACCACATGTGCTGCAAGACGAGTGCAAGGTAATGATCATGACAGAGAAATGTTTTTGCAATGTTATGAAATACTTATTAAAATATATTCTATCAAATTTAAGATGAATCACTTTGTATTGTCTCCTCTATGCATCCTTCTTCAGATCCAAGATGGCAGCTGGCACCAGTCACGTTTCTTCTTCCATTCTCAGGACAGTCGTCAGCTTCCGATTGTGAACATACAGGAATTTCCCACATCACAGCCCACTAGTCAGCGACGTATAGAAATCGGTCCGGTCTGCTTCCTTTGACCCCAACATCACTGTCCTGTAACAAATTACATGAACTTTTAAAATGCAAGGCTGTTGCAAAAGCTGCCTACCAAAGAGCATGTGTCTCTGACAGAGTGTTGGAATCCGCTATGCGAGCAACAACCGCCCCATGTACAATCAAAAGCACGCTTACATAGAAGAACTCAATCTCTCCGGAACATCCGGGCCAAGAAGGCCAAAGGAGAGGTGTATACCAATATTTATCATAAATTGTATGTACAAAAGTATGTTTTTCATTGATAATTAGTCAAACTGTGCTTAGGTTGGCTGTACAGATGTCACTCCCTGATCACAGGCCAGGGTCTCACTTAGCAGCAGCCTATTCTAACCTCAAAAATCACACCCCCCTCCCCCCCCCCCCACGCCCAAGCTCACCCAGACGTCCACAGCAGAGGCCTAACCCGAAGGAGCGTGCCAGGCCTCTACATAGGAGCACTGTCGATCCACAGTTTTTTTTATGAGTGCAATAGCATGTGCATAATGTGTGACTGCTTGATATTTCACTTTCCTATCAAAGGCTATATGATACATTGATTTAACTTCCTGCGGTCCTGCCCAGTATGACCCGTACATCTTGACAGATGGTGCTCTACCTCTACCTGGTCAATTGCTTTCTAGATAGTTGCTAATATCAAATTAGTGTTTTTTTTGCCTTTGTGTTGTATGTACCGGTTACATCAAGATTTGTTTTTTTGTCTAAGTACTTATGTTCATTTGGTCATTTCTAATTTATGAACCATTTTTGTATACACTACATTTTATTGTAGCCTTTCCTTTTAAGTGGTAGGTTCTTCAGGGGAAACCTATCATTGGTGCTGCAAAACAGAATGATTCATCAGTGAGTTTTACATTTCCTGTGTATATATGGACAGCATACTGTATGTTTATTTATATCCTTTTTTGTTTGTGTTCACATTACTGTACCACAGTAAGTTATACTCTCAGAGAACTATTTGGTCCATCACAACTCAGTCTAAAAAAGTATTTATGTGTTAACGGTGTGTTTGTGTGTTCACGCCTGTGACTGTATGTTTATCATACTGTCATTTTGGTTTAGTCAGTGGTGGTTGGTTAGGTTCACTGGCAGCTACATAGAGCCAGTCAGATTACACAAAAACCCATTCATCATATTAAGTTATGTTACCTTGAACAAAGTGTAATTATATAAAGTTTGTGCAGGATAAAGGTGGATGCAAATGTGTAAATAATAAATATGTTGTCAAACAAATAAATGGAGCATTTTATCCACAAATGGTTTTGTAGTGTTTTTGAAATGCTTGGACTTGTAAAATATCCACAAATGCTCTTGAATTTTAGATAAGTGTATTTTATTTTTATATTCTTTATATTGGGGAAAGATGATCAACACACTTTTATGTTAATTGTACATTGTATATACTTACATGCCTCTTATGGCAATCCCTTTAGCATAGGTTTTCTATCTAAACTGGAACATATCTAGATGCACGTAACTCAGTGAAACCGCTGATCAAATGTGGTTTGTGTAAATAATCTCTCTCACACTTGCACATTCCTTAAAGAAATACAGATATAAATCTGCAATGACTCCAACCCCAATAAACTCATCCTCTATATGCATACAGTATTTGAGGTGAGGAACTAAACTTGGAAAAAACACCAAGTATTGTTGAAATCATAAACACTTGCAGTTACATGGTGGTCATAAAAAAACATTCCGCAGCTTTAGTAATAGCATTTGTTGTTATTTTCCTACAAGATTGTTTACTGCAAAACAATACAATACATTTCAATATTGTCTGAGGAGACTTTTTGCAAATGTGTTCCAATAGCACTTGCATTATACTGTATTTGGACAGATGTTCTTCGCATCAGCTCAGTGTTATTTCTGCTGTTAGTGTGTTTACTTTGACGCCACTAAATGAAGGTGTAGTTCTCCCCCACTAACACCGGGAGGCGCCACTGAGCTGGTCTCTCTCTAACCGGAACTCCCCTCCACGTGCTGCCGCTGGCCCCCGGCGGAAGACAGTTTGTTTTGAAGCCGCGGAGCTGTGTCCAACGTGCGGCTACACTTCTCTCATGTGCTCTGTAAAAGTCCCAGCAACAGACATAATGTTAACCATGGACAGCCAGGTGGAAAACAGCGACAAAGAAGAAGAGCTGAAAGCGAGCAAAAGAAAGATATCTCTTTGCAAGTAAGTGATTTAACAGACAGGAAGTCATTATAAAACTTCATCTAGCACACAGCTTCATGATGGTTTTAATGTGTGTTCGTTTTCACCATTGCATAAATGATACGTATATGAATAGGAGCATATACCAATAACAATAACACACGCTTAATAGCCGTATGTGCTATTTAGCTAACGTTAGTAACAACATTAGCACACTCCTCTTTTTCTAGGAGTTATTTCGCCCTCACTTTAATGACTGACTGTCATTACTTCCAAATGATGTTTGTATGTGTTTCTGTTATGCTGGTTTCCTTAAAGGTGGGTTGTTATTTTCTCTTTGTTGCCCGTGTCTTTTGTTGCAATACACCTGTAAAACTGCCCGCACATGTGTGTGCCTCTGCTGACATGTTGTCTGTCTGCAGATGTGGAGTGTGTGGATCAGAGGAGGCGAAGTACAGATGTCCTGCCTGCCTGGCCCACTCCTGCAGGTGAGATCACTGTTCAAGGAAATGCAGTTGTTTTACTGACAAATTAACACATTGTGAGTGGTGACACACAACAACACAATTACTACTTAATGTGTTTTTGTCTTTTTTTATACATGTGAGATGGTGGACATGTTGCACATTTAGTCAAAGTCAACTCTTTAGAATTGAATTCGCTTATTACCCTCTTTTTTCATGTGACAGGACTTAATCCATAGGGTCTGATTCATAGACACTTGTTTGAATTCCCGTAAGTGTAATTTTGCCCATAGTTATTGGTGATAACCCTATATATAGAACAAATAGAACAAATACCAACATTTTGTCCATTCTTAGAAAATCCATTGAACCAATTACTTTAGTGTCAATAGTTGACCGATATTATTTATACGTCATTGTTACTTAGCAATAGTATATTGCACGTAGTTGTATATCCAGATAACATGTAAGCATGTTTCTATATCTTAAAGTATAATATTTTCTATTATTATACACTTTTTTTGGTTAACTTACATTTTATCTTATTAAACTATGTTTATGTATGCACCAAGGCACATTCCTACTTGGCAATAAACCTGTTTCTGATTCTCATTATATTTCATGAAGCATAAAAGCTGAGTCTGTTGTGTGAGATATTTCTAATGCAAACTCAAAAAAGGTTCTGCTTTTTCTGATTAAAAAAACTAAAATCTCTGAAGTATGATTCAAATAAATAGTTAGAAAAAATGTCTTCTGTCTTTGCGTGCATCAACATATGGACTTTACTGTTCCATGTCCAGCAACAACATGCTGCAGATAATGGCGATCGTTCATGGCCTAATACTTAAATTCTGTGGATGCTGAAGCTTTTGCGAAGGTCATGGCACCAGGGGATGTACTTCCCCTGTCTCTCATGGCTGCATGTTGTTTCAGGCATCATTCAGCATTCCTTTGACATAGTTTCTGAGTTTACCGTATTTGTCTGTCACTGGCCAAATACCTGTCTTTAAAAAAAAAATGGGTATTTCCATGCCTGGTATTTTTTTGTTGGATCTTTCAGAAAGCAAATAACAGCCCCTTTTATAATTATTTTGGCTTCAGTGATGTTTGAAAATTCCGCTCCGTCAAAAGTGCCGAATTGCTGGGTTGGAATATTTATTACGGTCATTAACTGAAGTAACAAAGGAACCAGGGAGTGATATCGAAAACAAAACCAAACCGTTTTTTCTAAAACAAATGTTAGCTTTCTAAATGTGGTGAGTTATGTGTAGGTGTCCTTTTTTAGTGATTTTATTTTTTTATTCAGTTTTTGTTTGATTAGTATTCTAAGCTGTTTATTATAGAAGCTTTCTGATTGAACTGTTTAGCCTAACCAACACTATAGCGTTAGGTTAACGTAAAAAAACAACAACTGTTATGTGTTTTACTCTTGTTATGGTTAATCTTATGGACTTTATGAGTATGTTTACTAGATTCGTGTTAATAACTTCACACTCCTGTTATCCTTGGGGTCAATTTGACCCCATTTAATGTTTAACGTATCTAAAAAAAAATGATTCACATTATTTGTTTTGCTTAGTACTTCATGACTTTTCCTAATTTAGTGAGGACTAATGGGTAAACATAAAATGAACATGAAGATCTTTTTTAAATGTCCTGTACGCACTTTGTACGCATCGGTGTTCCTTGGGGTCAATTTGACCCCAGGCTGTTTTAGTAGTATAAAACATATACAAATGTTTGTGTTGATTGTGTAGAATGATATTAAGGTGACTATTACATGCAAATGTATCATTGTAGTTATTGGTCCTTTAACAACATCAAAAATATCTTACTTTAACATTTTATTTCTGTCAGTGAGATTTTATGGTGATTTATATATTTGTCGATAGTCACATAATAGGAATTCTGGATGTATAAAGCAGTGTTTCCCTAGGATGGAGTCATAGCAGCGGTGCTAAGGCACATGGACCCAGCATAATGTGAGCGCGGCGCGCGTGGAATTTTTTAGTGTGCACGGGTGAAGTGCGACCCACCAATTTGTTTCTATGTGTCTGCCAGCACAAGAAAGGCTCTTGAGGCCTAGTACCAGAGCCAGTTCTAGCCAATTTGCTGCCCTAGGCGAGATTTTATATATAAAAAATAAATGAAACATTTCTACAAAAGACAAATACACGACAAAAACAGAAACTTATTGACATATACGTCAAAATTAGGGATGGGAATTTGAAAGCAAATGTATATTCGAATATTCGACCCCCCAAAAAACGGTTAACCGGTTACCGAAATGTACATATCCTATAAATAAAAAAAATGTCAGCATTTTTTTTTACCCAATTTTTTTCAATAATTTTTGGAAACAAATACATGTTCAAATAAGTGTAGAAACCAAGTCGAATTTGTCAAATGTATTGAACTGGTGATCACAGTTTGACAGCTATAGGCCTACAGCTTTCATGTGCGGAGGCGATTCACAATCAGCCCAGCTGTAGAGAAGACCCTCTCCGCTGGAACAGAGGTTGCGGGTATAGCAAGGTATAGCATGTATAAGTTTAATTTGGCATAGTTTGACCTCTACACCGCACTCACTAACCTGGTCGAAATATTTCCACACATTACTCCTTTTTGACGCCATGTCTGTTGTGTAGGACTCTTCTTAGAGTGTAAATAATTACCGGACTATGACTGGTAAAATATGTTGAATACCGGCAAAACTAAATCTCTCCAGTCAAAATGTCTATGTACTTTGCCGCCACACACGGTTGCCAAGCAGCGCTTATTGTTGTTTAGGCTGGCCACTCATGTGTCGCGAGTGTTGACAGGGGGCGGGAGCACGCTCATGAACCTCGCAACGGCTGCGGAGCGCATTTGCGCCACATTTGGGCCTAAGATGAGGTTTGAGTCTGTGTGATCTGCGTGTAGGGAGGGGCAGCAGTCATATCATTGGCTAGAACTAGCTAGATCTGATGGATTTGGACATAAACACGAGTGAAGTATAACCGGACGCGAGAGAGAGAGAGATCAGCACCTGCAGCTCTGCCCGCTGTGAGCAAAACACACCTTTTGACGTCAACTAACACATTTAGCTATGGCACTGTCATATTCAATTTGATAATATGTAATCAACTTAGGCATCACTCCCAAAATTAAAACATTTAATACAAATAATATTCATAACTCATATTCGAATACATGAATAATTTAGAATATTCTAATATTCGATTAATCGTTCCCATCCCTAGTCAAAATGGCTTCAAATGTATTCAGTATTGTATGAACATGTTTGAATTGGGGGGTGGACGTCACATCCTCTAGGGCAGTGGTTCCCAAACGGTGTGCCGCGGCACACTGGTGTGCCGTGAGGCAAGTCCGGGTGTGCCGTGGGATTTTGTGACAACCATACGTTATTATTGCAATATACAACTACACAAAAATAATAATTGTTTTATTTACTATAATATCAGTACTTTGTAGGTTTAAATGTACGTAATCTGCGTGACTTGCGCATCCACATCTCCACGTGCAGTGCCGCATAAACATGGCTGAGTCAGCGATAACTTTCGAGGGGTGGAGGTATGCCCATTATTTTGAGTTCGTCCGAAGAATAGACAGGAATGTGACGGTGAGGTGCAAACTGTGTCCAGGCCAGAAGCTGTTATCCACTGCTGTAAACACCACGTCAAACCTCAACAAGCACCTGCAAAGAACACATGCTAAAGTGAAGCTACCGCACACGCTATTTGTTGTTTGTTTATATCTCGTAGTCTGTTCTTCTTCTCTGTCTTCCGGTTGTTGCCTGTTTTGAATGACAAATACACACTACCGCCGCCTGCTGGTAAGGAAAGTTATTGCCACTCAGGCATGCGCAAGTTCGTACGTGCTCGGTGAGTAAAGTAACGAGTTACTTTATGTAGATAGTAACGAAGTAGTGTAATATATTACATTTTTTAAAGTAATATGTAATATATTAAAAAAATTTAGTAACGACCCCATCTCTGGAGTTGGCGTTCTCTACTCTGATTTACATGAAGAACAACAGGACTCACAGCTCTCTGTTGAACAGGACTTGCGAGTGGCCCTCTCCTCAGTGCCACCAAGGATTAAAACATTCTGCGCGCCCCGACAGGCACATGTATCTCACTAATTTGTAAGTCGGCAAAAATATTTACATGTTTCAATGCTGATTGCTGAAATGTTAATGTTGTGACCTGTCTGGTTTAAATGAGTGTGTTGCTGCTTTGATGAAGCCTAATTTGATAAAGTTTCAAATTAATTTCTGAAATATTTCGTTAATAAATATTTCATGAGTAATATAGTTGTCTTTGTCACATTTTATCTGGCATTAGTAAATAATTATGCACATTTACAGATATTTTACATGATATGAGTGATAACACGTGTTATAAGGGCTATTTTGCACAATAGGTGTGCCTTGAGATTTTTACTTGTCCCTTGGTGTGCCTTGGGCACAAAAAGTTTGGGAACCACTGCTCTAGGGGGTCCGGGGGTATGCCCCCCGGGATTATTTTTTTTAACATTTTAAAGTAAAATGCTTCAATCTGGTGCACTTTGAGCACACATTACTAGAGACCTGATCTAGGGGGTACAACTCTAAAACACCCATATGAAAAAGATCGAGTGAGTGAGTTAGTAAGATCGTTTACATTTTAATAATCAAATAAGTATATGAACATTACCAATAACCTACCATAGCCAATAACAAATAAATGTAACTTATTTTATTTTTGTTGTTTATTTTCTTATTTTACCTAGTTAACATTTATTTATTTATGCATATTGTTGTATCTCTCCAACTTTAAACGATATTTTTGGTTTACTGTCCTATAGTATACATTGGAATGATTTCAAACCTGTTTTTATTTATCCTAATAATTATAAAGGAGTGCCTTGGAAATATGTGTTTACATAATTTGTGGTCAAAATGTTTGAGACCCACTGAGATAACTTAGACTAAAAAAGTAAAGTCCTTTACCTCACTGAGCCAGTCTGACAGGAGAGCTCTCCTCCACCCTGGTTGTAGAAACATCTACTTTTTATATCCGTTAGCGCAGCTAGCATCAGATTCTAATAACAACAGCGGCGGTACCGGTGCGCCCTCTCTCTCGCTCCCACACTCGCACTTTGAATGTGAGCTGCGGGTGCCAGAAAAGCCAACATCCCCCACTTTCATCACTTACAGTGCCCATCGTACAGGGCAAATTAAAAGTGTAACCGGGGTGAAAAGGGTGTTACATTTACTTAATTATGAATATTGTTACCAAGACCGAAAATTAGGATGAGCGGCAACGGTCAAAAATGTTTTTTCCCCTCCCAGAGCTACCAGCGCAGCACCCCCCAGATCTGCCGCCTATGCCAAAAATCGGCCCTTCCTAGTACATATACAGTAGCAATGTCTCAAGATTTAGCAAAAATACACCTTTATTGAACATACAGTAACACAAATACTACAAATCCACATAACAAAAAATCGAAAAGAGTCACCACTTATTATTATTTTATAGGGATGTAACGATACCAAAAACTCACGGTACGATAATATCGCGCTAAAAAGTCCACGGTACGATATTTATCGCGATATTGAAAAAATAAATAAATAAAGTTTAAGAATAATTATTATTTATTTTTTTACTTTATTTATTGAATAATAAATCTGATTTGTACAGCATTTTAGTAGGATAGTAGTATTTTAAAGTGTCAACAACATAATAATCAGACCCGGCAATAGAATAAATCAAGTTTCACTTCAAGTTTCTAACTCACTAACTCACTCACTCAGCATCATCAATGTTATCTTTTAGGAATATGAGCATGTCCACATTTCCAGGTAGAAGCTGGGATGTTTGAGCGTTTACAATATCTCCTGCTGTGGAAAAAACTCTCTTGCTTGGTACTGATGTTGCTGGGACAGAGAGATATGCTTTGGCCATGGGTAACAGCAGTGGGTAAAACTGCAATCTCCACCTCTTCAAAAACAATACAGTTTTTGCCAAGAAGGTGAGGCTTATTGACAGGGCGAGATATAAATATACTGTTGGTACTTGTCAATGTCTCTAGGTGTGTAAATGTAGCCCTGTAAATACGATGTCCTTTTGTGTTATCTGTTGTTTTATGTTCATGTTGTAACCTACTTGCTGCCATGTTGGACAGGTCTCCCTTGAAAAAGAGATCGATGATCTCAATGGAACCTAATGGTTAAATAAAGGTTTTAAAAAAAATCGCGGTAGTGGAATATAATCATTTTCTTGAGTTTTAAACTACTGGGGTCAAATTAACCCCAGAGGATAAAGGGTGTAAAGTAAATCTGAGGACCACAGGAGGGTTAAACTTGAATCACTATGATATGATGTATTGTAGTCTGATCCTGCTGTCACACTGTCAGATTTGCTTTTAGTAAAACGTTGTGAGGGCTTAAGAGTGTCAGTTGGTATTAGTAAGTGGAGCCAAAATGCTGCCAGCTTCCTCTGGTGCTGTGTTTATGTCTGGGTCAGCAGTTGATCCATGTTGTCCACAAATGTCTGAATCAAGGAAACATCATCTTGTTTTCCCTCGGTCTTTCTCCACACCCAGCACCCAGATATGAAAAATCTTTCTGGAATGATGATAACCTCTTTAGCTTATCTAGTGTTTGTCCATGTGCAGCGCTGGTTATTTGCTTTAGGCAGGGGTTTATATTTGTCCATCTCAGTTCCGCAGACCATCAGTCCTTGGATAACATTTGCATGTTATCTTCCATCCTTCTTTGTCCAGTGTTCTTACTGCTGTTCTTCGAGCACTGTCTAGACAAGATGAAATGAAGCCAAACCAAATTCCTGTAAACAATTGAGGCATTGTCTAACACATTTTGTCTCTGTACATTTCCCAGCTTGCTGTGCGTGAAGAAACATAAGCAAGATTCGGGATGCAATGGAATTAGAAATAAATCTGCCTTTGTGACCCTCTCACATTTTGATGAAATGACACTTCTAAATGGTGAGCATCTTCTGTACTCCCTACCGTGACAGAAACAAAGGTTTTAGCTTGACTGTCGAATTGAAGCATGTAAACACCATATCCTGTTCATGAGGTACCTGAATATGCTAGTGTGTATTCCTGGCCTGCTGTTGCATGTATATACCTTTTTATAATACCTTATTTATATTTTCTGTTACTCATCTTCCAGTTCTGGTTTGTTTTTGTAAACATCACAACAGTATGCAGTGATATTTTAACCCTATTTATATTTTCTAATGTAAACATATCCTGAATATGATTAAAACCGGGATACGCCTTATTACTGGATTACACAAAAACACTTATTGAAGAGCAATCATCACTTCAAGTAAAATGTACCAGAAAATTGTGAAGAATATTATTTTTGTAATTGTTGGCAGCAGATAAGTGTTTCTTTAAGCATAAGAAAAAATAATAACTGGTACACATTGTATTAATGTTTCGTGATACAAACACAAATGCTTATTTTTTACTTGGGTATTGGTGTTTACCTTTTGTCCCCTACCTGCTCTGTAGACTACAGACTCCTGGAGGACACAGGACGCTTTGCAGACGGTGCCACCAGAGACAAGCTCATCCAGACTCCTCGCTCCACTTTAAAAGTATGTTGTATTTTTAACTGTACCTCTAAGGTTAGTTTGCTCGGCCCACATATTGTTTATTTTGTGCAAGCGGTTGCAACTTTGTCTTAGTTTCACACTATTCCACTGATCAACAGGTAGAAGAAACGGGCCAAAAAAGCCATACAATGCAACAGCAGACTGCAACCTTGTTAGAATGGCTGTAAATAATGTTTTAATATACTTAATAAGTTAGCTTTGCACCCACCTCTCTTGTTAGCTGTAGGTATACAGTAGAAAGCAGTGAAACGTGGTCAATAATGAAGTGTCCAAGCTATTTTCTTTCACTACCAAAAACAGTTTGTTTTCATCATCTATCCAAAGCTATCACTTGGTTTGTCTAATTCAAACCTCAAAAAGGTTGAAGATTGTTTTGTACCAAACGAAAATAAGCTGCATGTGTGAACAAACCATTCCCACATCATATAGTTGTTTTATCTCTTTCAAGTCATAACATTTATGAAGTTAATTGTTTTGGTATTTAGGAACTAAGAGCAGATGGTCCTCTCTTTATTGTTGTCTCTCGTGCTCATATGTTAGCCTTGCAAAAAGGAAACACTTAATATTTGCTAAGCCAAGATAATTCTCCTGAGTGCTGAAAATCCATCTCAGCACCATATCATAGCTAAAATAGTAATTACTCCAATACAGGGTATGATTTAAAAGCTTATAGCATTTCAGAAACTGAATACGTTTCACACAAAGCAAGGAGAGGACTATATATTTATGCAAAACATATGTTTCTGATAAAAATCACAGGGATAAAATAATAGGAATCTGGCTGAAAACAATTCGACCAAAACTGAAGCAGGAAACGCATTCCTTTGCCGTAAGTCGAGGTGCATCGGATGAATCATACAATAAGGAGGCTTTAGTGCACTAAGAGAACATGGAGTGTGATCAAAAACAAACTGAAAGCCAGCTTTATTATTGGTGTTTTTATGAAAGTCGTTGGCTTAATCTTCCCTATTGTGCAGATATGTGGTAATTTCTTTCTCTGTACTGCAGTCTTCTAAGATCCACACTGTATTTATTTTTATGTTTCTGAGTAGGAATAAAAGTGAATGATTTTGAGGCAATTTATTTCTGAGCTGTCTTAAGTGCAGATCCTTCTCAGAATAAAACTGAACAACTTAAAAAGAAGAACTGAATGTTGCCTTTATAGCAAAATGATATTCATATACATGTCACCAGTCTATTGTTATATACGATTATATAAGTGGAACGTACATGGAAACAATAATATGAAATACCTAGCTTTGCCAATTTCTACAGCAGTATCTCAATATTTTAATTGTTATGCTTTTATTGCTTAACTTGTATAAATTGCAGCTTTAGTGATGGACATCTTACTGCGATTGCTCCAGACCACACACATTCATTTTATGTATCACTGAGTGTCCCCGCCAGCTCTTACCTGAATCAGCTGTCACTCTGAAAGCATGGTAGTTGTTAGCCTGGATTGCAGCTTGTTCTTTTGATGGGATTTTCAGAGAAAGCGGCTGCCTCAGCGGCCACAGATCAATCCAAAATAAAGAGTCTCATTCTCAGTGAGAGACAACAGCTTGGCACGTGATAAGCCTTTGGAATTGAACATAGCAAGTGCAGTAATCTTTAGTAGCCTTCTATTGCAATAGCTTTTGATAAATCTCTGTTATTGTCTCTCATGCCCCACCAATTTGAAGACGCAACATGAGTGCCGGAGAGAAAAGGCTTGTCCTCTCATATTTAGACAAGGCCAGAAGTGCAGCTCATCTTTGCTTTAATTGTTAATGAAACATGCACAGCTGGATTTATTGATGCAGAGCAGATTGGTATTTATACTTGGAGAAATCCCCTACAGTTTTTTCCTTTGATCTAAAATGTCCGCCTGTCTGAGGCAAAACAAATAATCAAAAAGCATCCCGTTTTAGGAAAGGCAAGGCAAGTTTATTTATATAGCACTTTTCTGTACGCGACAATTCAAAGTGCTTTACAAAACAAATTAAAAGACTTTTTAGGAATAAATACATTAAAAACACATTATACAATTTTACAACAGACATTACAAAGCAAAGATAATAAAAATAAACACCACAGGTATACAATACATGTTTAAAAGGCATACTGTAGTTCGAATATGAGCATCTCAATTAAAAGCAGCGACAAAGAGATATGTTTTTAGTCTCGATTTAAAAATAGTAAGCGTTTCTGCGGACGTGCATGATTTGGGTAGTTTATTCCAGAGTGTCGGGGCATAATAGCTAAATGCTGCCTCTCCATGTTTTGTTTTTACTCTCGGAACTGATAGCAGACCCGTCCCAGCAGACCTGAGGCACCTTGATGGCTCTTAATTATGCAGGAGTTCAACAATATACTTTGGTCCTAAACCATGTAATGATTTAAAAACTAGCAATAGTACTTTAAAATCAATTCTTTGGCCGACTGGAAGCCAATGTAGAGATTTCAGAACCGGACTGATGTGATCTACTCTTTTAGTGTTAGTGAGGACACGTGCAGCAGCGTTCTGGATCAGCTGCAGTTTTCTGATGGATTTTTTTGTCAGCCCTGTGAATACACTATTGCAATAGTCGAGTCTACTGAAAATAAAAGCATGGACAAGCTTTTCTAAGTCCTGTTGTGACATTAGTTTTTTAATCCTTGATATATTCTTCAGGTGATAATAAGCAGACCTAATGACTGTTGTAATGTGGCTGTTAAAATTCAGGTCTGAGTCCATCACTACACCCAGATTTCTTGCTTTGTGAGTTACTTTGTAGTCTGCCGACTGAAGCTCTGCGATTACTTTTAATCGGTCCTTCTTTGCTCCAAAAACAATGATCTCAGTTTTTTGTTTGTTCAGTTGGAGAAAGTTCTGAGTCATCCAGTCAGTGATGTGCTCAATGCACTTGCTCAGTGTTCTAATCGCAGAACAGTCTCCTGGTGTGATTTTAAAATAAATCTGGGTGTCGTCTGCATAGATGTGATAGCTTAGATCGCTCTTTTTAATAATTTCAGCCAGAGGTAGCATACAAATATTAAAAAGCAAAGGTCCTAAGATGGAGCCTTGAGGAACCCCGCATGACATATTTGTCAAAGTTGATGTGTAGTTGCCTATTGAGACAAAGTTTTGTCTCAATTGTCCTTTAAGTAGGTACTAAACCAGTTTAGAGCTGTTCCTGAAACTCCCACCCAGTTTTCTAGACGGTCTAGCAATATGTTGTGGTCAACAGTATCAAAGGCAGCGCTGAGATCTAATAATACTAAAACTGATATTCTGCCACTGTCTGTGTTTAAATGAATGTCATTTAAAACCTTAACAAGAGCAGTTTCAGTGCTGTGCTTAGGTCTAAAGCCCGACTGAAACACATCAAAACCGTCATTTAAAAACATGAAATGACTCAACTGTTGAAAAACAACTTTTTCAATCAATTTGCTTAAAAAAGGGAGGTTTGATATTGGCTTGTAATTATTCATTACGGTTGTGTCTAAGTTATGCTTTTTTAGGAGCGGTTTAATTACTGCAGTTTTCAGGGCCTGTGGAAATACACCTGATTGAAGAGAGTTGTTTACTATGTGTATTATAAAGGTCTCCTTGCAGAAACTCTATAATGCTATATAATGTTAAGGGCTGCAACCAATAATTATATTCATTATATAGTTATCCTATCTAACTTTTATAAACTATTTTATTGAGTCAATTATAGATTTCGTCTGTAAAATACATAATTTCCTAAAGCTCAAATCAACATTTTTTGTCATTAACCCAAAAGGTATTCAGTTTATATCCATTGAAGACAAAGAACTTGAGTTGAAACCAGTAAATATGTGAAAAACCATTTGTTTATCAAAATGTTTGCCCTATTAGGTGAGTAAGTTAGTGAATAAACTGATTTCAGCTCTAATACTGAAGTGTAATCAAATGCTTTACTCTGCTATCCGTACTTTCTGTTTCACAGGCAAAGAAGCTGGCAGCCCACGCCAGAAAGGTGAACATCACACTGAGGTTCCTCCCCATCACCTTCACTAAGAGCAAAGAAAACTCCACGATCTTCATCACAAAGTAAGTAGGAAGTACACTCTATTTGAATGAGTAAGTGATTTTTATACGGTTTATCCTCAGCTGTATTTTTAGCACAGGAGTACACTTATATTTGGAACTTATTTTAATTAAGAGGTGATTAGAGTCTCAGGATCATCACTTGCTTTAGGCTCCACATCAGCCTCTTTTGCACAATTTGAAGGTACCATGAATATTATTACTAACTTAAAAGAGACTACAACAAGTATTCCACTCTCCTCAGAAATCCTTACCGTAATGAAATATGTAGATATGTATTATTATCCTAAACATACACACATGATCAAGTACCAAATAAAAGACAGAACACTAACACAAGTACATACATAATTATAAGTTACACTGCCCTAATGGAAATCCAAACATTTCAAGCGTTTTGAATGATGCGCTCAGTCAAAGATAACACGTCCCAGTTTCCTGATGAAGTGAAGTGCTGCTTAGTCTGGGGCTTCTGATTAGTGTTGTTTCACTTTACCACAGGATGGCACTCTTGTTAAGCCCTCACAGCAGCTGTATCTGGAGCTGGCTCTCTTCAGGTCATTTTACAGCAGTATGGTGCGTGATGATGAAAGTCACTGGACCTATGACTGTTAAACCTGAAATTGGTAATTTTCCTTAGGTAGTGTTGCATAACCACACCGCTATCTGATAGTCTGAGAGGAGTTGAAGTATTCTACTTCCTCAAGGGAGATTCCTCCATGAGGATTGTTGCTTGCCAGCGTTTGCAGTCTTGATGTTTTTCACAACCCTTTACAGGAAGAGACTTGGCCTTTTTCAGCTGGTCACTTTTAGCCATTTTGTTGGTGTTTGCCAGATCTGTTCTGATTTATTTTCAGCTCTCAAGTAGGGCTGGGCGATTTTTTCGGTTTTCACGATTAATTTGCATTTTTACTTTCCTACGGTTTGTGAAATGGCTGAACCGAAAAATCGCGATTTAAAAACATTTCTAGACTCCGCAGATTTGTTTTTGCTTTAAGGGACTCCGTAGTAGCTTACTCTCTCACTTTCCAGAACGCGCCCAAAATTCAGCCACATTGCCTGTGACTACCCGATCTGCAGCTCTGCCCGATCTGCTGTTGTTATGCTGTGTTCGTTATTCTCGCGTCCAGGAGAGAAGCTTTAAAAGGAGACTAAATGGAGTCTCTGAGAAGGTTCAAATGGTGCTTTAATTAAAAAAGCTCTCGTGAGCGAAGGGAAGAGAGCGAGCTCCACCTCTCCAGCTGATATATCTCCTCCGCTGGCTCGCTGTGGGCCGGTTGGCGCTGGGAGCCGGCCCTCCACGTCTCCAATGTTCGTTGTTGAGCATAACAGAGGACTCCGACATTGTACATTAAATATATAACTAAACACGCCTGTTCTCCTCCTTATCTCTTTCATGACTTTTCATTTAATACATTTTAAACGCTGTAATCAATACTCCAAAAATACAGGAAATACTTCACGGCTGGTTTCATTTACGGTAGTTCCGGATGTTGTTTCATACTACTACCCACGTCTGTAAACAAACGTATTCAAATAAACTGTACCTTCATTTAATATTCAGCAATAATAATATCTCCACGTCTATAGTTGTAGTGTTGAAATCAGTATGTTTCGGTGTGCAACACTCCGTGTCATATCGCTACTAAATTCACCTCTATAGTAAATGGTATATTAGCCAAATGCTAAATGCTAACCGTCCGGAGATGAAGGATTTTCAGAATAAAACTGGTTGTGCACAAGAACTTCTAGTTTTTCAGTATAAAACAGCATTTAAACTGACGGTATGCGTAACATTTATGATATTAAAACACATTTTACACCTCACCGTGTTTTATTCTTATAGAAGTAAGAAGAGAAGTAATGGGGCAGAAACCCTCCTTTTTACGCATTTTTTGCAAAGAAAATATGTATTTACATTTTGCCTTGGTCTGGTTTGTTTAGAAAAAAACAGAAAAAAATCGAGGTTTAAATCGAAAATTGTCCATTAGTTAGAAAAAAAATCGCGGTTTTATTTTTAGGCCAAATTGCCCAGCCCTACTCTCAAGCAGTATACACATTCAGTACCAATGCTACAGTATTATATGCTGCAGACAAACCATCATTGAGGTGCTGCACTGCATCTCCTCCCTTATCATATTGCCCTAGTGAGTCAATCCCTAAACCTCTGTGTGACTAGGCAAATGAAAATAATAAAGTATAGGCTATGTTTGTTTCTGATCTGTAATAATACATTATGCATTCTAGTCATTCATCAACCGATATCAGAGAAGGTTGTTGGGGAAAAGGTCAGTGACCAGATGTTCCTGAGCTGTTAACCTCATCTTTTCATAATGACTTAAATATATGCCATTTCCGCAAATTATATTGAATGTGTTGTGTTGAATTAGTCAAGTTAAAAACATGTGAAGGATCTTCCAGTAAACACTGCCTCGTGAGAGTTTTGCTTTACTGAGAAATGAATCAAATAGGATGAAAGAAGTCCCCAAAAGGCCACAAAGCATTTTAATGATTATACTTCTTTTTAAATGACCCTTAACACTAGTGTTGGGGAATAATTTCCCCTGCATGTCATCTTTCGCCCTCTGACGCAGATGCCCAGCCTTGATCAGCCGTTATCTCCCTTAAGGAGGGGCTGCCCTAGCATTTTGTTGTTGTTACCAGTTTATGACCGGGAAACTCTCTGTGAGAGATAGTTATTGTTGTGGGACACCTGGAACACATCCTTCTCGGGTGTAGATGACCCAGAGCCATAAGCGACAACAAATGTGATTCAGTGTCCTCAGCTGTTTAGTCTATCTATTGAAGAATGTTGATTATTACACTCTGAACTAGTTCAAACCTGGAGCTACAGGAGGGTTCTTCAGAATTGATTGTGGCATCTCTACCGTGTGGTCAAACCGTGGCCCGTGACTTGTCTTGTGAATTCTCCGGCCGAAGCTCCAAATAAACCGTCAGTGTTTGCCATCAAAGCTCCAGCTCTCCTCGTGTCTCTCTGAGTCCTGTTTCCAATTGCTTCAGAAGTTTCCCCCACAACTAGGGTTGGATGAGTTTGGGTTTTAACCGTTCTTGATTCTTTCGGGGTTCAAAACAGGATACATTGAACCGAATGCCCTTAAAAAAATAAGAAATAATAATAATGCTCATGGAAATCCACTTTTATTTTGTTTGCCGTATTAGATAATATGATTCAATAACCTGTGTATTCCTTCTTTTTTTTTTTTACTGTATTGTAACTTTACATTAAGATACATATGCGATATTCATAAAAAACACAGGGTGGTTTGTCAGCCTTATTTGTGAAATGGTGGTCAATATAAACAACATACGGTTTGAAATTGAACATTTATTGTGTTTTGTGACAAAATCATATGACTGGGTTGAGAGTGATGACTGGCATTAAAGGTGAATTGGAGAAACTGCATTCCATGGTGTGTATGTCATACTGCATACATGCTTGCTAGTTGTTTAGAAACTATTACCATCATTTCAAGTTTTATTTAGTATTTCTTGTTGATTCCTTTACATTGTGAATCTCGGAGCAGGTTCAAATTTGGAACCATTTCTTGATGAACACTTTTTCTTAAAACATATGGCATTAGGGCTGGTGTGATTTAACTGTAACTCCATCTGTACTTTAATAATCTCGTTAGAAATGATTGGTGTGGTCAGATTTGCAGACTTGCAGTATTTTAGAGAGTGAGGCTTTTTACTTTCTTCAGACGCTGAAATAAAAGTAGTTATCTTGGCATGGGCACTTTTCTAATTTGCTCTGTTCTGCTGGTGGTCTTGTCGTGTTTGGCATATGTTCTCCCTCCTTTAGTAACCTCCTGCCACTCACATTTCTTTTTAGGAGGAGCCATGTTTCTCTAATCTCTATGTGGAAGATCAGATGAGGGGAGAAATGGTTATTGAACTGCATATGAAAGTGTTATGAGTCAAGGGACAGCCTTGGGTGCCAATCAGGATTGCCACTAAAAAGACTCCTTTGTCAGCCCCTCCAGCTGGTTTAATGCTCTCACTTTCCCTTTCACCACCCTCTCTCCCATCCTTATACCACTCGGCCATGTCTCTCTTCAGGTGGAGAGGTGAAAATGCAGGTCACATTGAAGAACAAGGTAACATTATTTCACGTTATAGTAGGTAGTCTCCCCGCCCAATACCCAGATGGTGACAGAGTATTTGATAGATGATACCAGAATGAGAACGTTTCAGTTATTTGATAAAGGTTCAACAATGTAACATTTGTGTGGAGTGCCATCTTTACGCTTTCTCTGCTGCACTATCCACCCAGTAATCTTTGGCCAGCTGCACAGCCTTTTTCTTAGTCTGCAAACACCTTCTAACTAACTGCAACAGGGTCCCATTCAGAGACCCTGAACACAAGGGATGGGATGAAAGGTATACAATAAATTGCAAGGAGAGAATGTGCTTCAGAATGTACCAAGTACATCATATGAAAAGCAGATGTGTGAGCGGTGTGACTGCAGCTGGTTAGCGACATATTCATGCTGCGCACACACGCTGCCAGAGAAGGATCATTACTGGCAGACAGCTGACTAGAGAGCTATAATGCCTGGCGATGGTGTGGGTATAAGTGTGAACCTATGTGTGGTTGTGAGCATGTTCCTCTCTGATTCAATGTTCGCATGCTAAATATTGGCCGTGCAACAACTTTTTTTCCACCTTTCACCGATGACTAATTTCAAATAGGAGGCAAACACAGTGGAGATTGATGAGAAATCACAGGCTGCCTCTCAGGCCAACCCCTTGGAGGGTAAGTATATAATAGCTGGCATTTGGCAGAACATTGGGAGTAGCTGCGAGCTGTGTTCGGGTGGAATTATGTTTTCTACAACCTCAACCTGGCATGGCACGGCATTTTCCTCAGAGACAGCTTGAGTGACCTGGCCAACACATTGCTAAGGCAGTTACTGTGAATAATAGCTGCACATATTTCTATAACAACCTGAGATAATTAGTAATAGGAGTATCTGTGGTAT